ACCTATTTTAGGTCTTTCCAATGCAGGAGGCTTGTTTGCATTGAGAAATATTCCCTTTTCTGACAAAAACTTAAAGAAAACTTAATTGCCAAGATAATGAAAAGAACAGATTAGGCACTCCACCTACCTTTATTCACTGTTGTTTATAGCCAGTGACCTCTATTTCCGATTCATGTGAGTTCTTGAATTTTGTGGAAAATTGAGTTTTTTTTTAAGGCTTGGAATTTCTTCTGTTTTTTCCAATTCTTAGCTAAGATGTTGTGCTACCTTCTTTCAGCTCTGTCCATAGAGCTGGAGAGCCTCAAGTCCTGGTAATAGAACTACTTTTATAACACCCAGTGAAGATTTCTAACACCACAGAATTTCTGTACACAGACATGACTCAGTGCTACTAATTGACTGCAACACTGCTCTTCACATTAAGGTGGATATTTCTATTGTTTTCAAGGATTCTGCTCTATTTGGATACAGACGAGGAAGTAAGTGCCTTAGGCCTCTCTATATTTCCCTAAATCCCATTGTATTATTTATTTTTGAGGTATGCACATCATTGGCAAACCTGGCACTATCTGTGCCTCCCTCATGGACTTGAGGAGTTGGAGGATTGCCTTCGGAAACTACTATGTTTTGCCATGTTTAGATGCAGCTGAGTGATTGGCTTGGTCTCTTCTGATGACAGATAAACGTCAGTGTTGGTTTGGGGCCAAAGTCACAAATAGACCAGGCTTGTTTTATACTCTGATTGAAAATGCTTTGATGGGAACTGATTTTTTTGTTTGGATTGCAAATTGATTAGCATAAGCACTGCACAATGTTCCCCTGAAGATAGTGAGCTGTGCTTTGGGTATTCTTTTATAGTTGCTGCCAAACCAACGAGACCATTCTGATGTGGCTGTTACTTGTTGGTAAAAGCAGACACTTGATGCTATTGAACTATGCGGTAAACTTATTCTTCGAGGATGGGTCACTTCACAATCGCGGAGTGTTGGATACCCGATTTTTAAAATGAGCCACTGCTTATGTCTTCCCTGTCTTCCCCCTCCGACTCGCTGTAAGAAACCTACAATCATCTTACTGTGCACATATCAGCATTTTTTTCTTGGTTAATATTGCTGAGCATCAAATTCCAAGGTACATTTTCTCACTAAGTTGTCAAGAGAACGATTTGATGATTATTTGGTACTGGAGTCAATTGCTAAACTATTGATGGTTAGCAGGATGAAGTTCGATGTGACTCTTTGAAATTAAACTGATGATGCAAGGAAAGGCTGAAGCTCATTTCTTACTTCATTAGCAAATATGCTAAGAATTTCTTCTGCCGTCAGCAAATAATTTCATCTCTGCGACAATGCATTGTAGCTTTAATTTGGCAATGAAAGCGAAGCTCCTCATGGCAATATTGCTCCAGGATGGACTGAGAATACCTTTTTTTATATGATGAGGTTGCATCTTGGGGAAAATAAATGAAGAAGTATTATTAATAATCGTCTTCCTCATTCTGGTGACTGGAGCTTTTTCACTTCCAGTGTTTGTTGGTTTTTTTCTCGAGAGGTGTACATGGGGCCTTGTGCTGGAGTGTTTTGAACTTGTATTTTCTTTAGCCACTCCTTTAGTTTTTTGTTCATTTATCTTGGGCTCCTCTGTTACTGTTTCAGCCCAAAACCCGAAGAGAAGACACCAGTGTGAAGCTTTGTATCTATTAAATGTGCAGATTGAATGGCTTGCATGCCTGATGCAAGGTTGACTTTCATTCTCTAATTAGGCTTGTGACACACCTATTTCTACAAATGCAGACTGTCACCTTTCTTAAAAATTAAGACAATTCACCATTAATGCGATGAAATGCCCTAGGATGCTTCATAGGAGGTTTATCAAACAAAACTTGGCATCAAGCCACAGAATTATGCAGGCAATCAAACTGCTGGTCAAAGAGGTAGACTTGAGCATCATTGCGGAGGGGAGTGCAGGGAGTTGGAGGCGCTTAGGCAAGTAAATCCAGACCTTAAAAGTCTCAGCAGCTGAAGGTGCAGCCACCAGTAATAAAGTGAAGGAAATTGGGAATGAGATGGGGTTAGAATTATAGGAATGCACCATTCTCAGAGGGCTCAAAGATGTTATGAGGAGAATGACATGGCTATGGAGGAATTTGAACACAGATAAGAACTTTAATATTGGCTCCCAGTCCTGCAAGTGTCATTGTGCAGGTCAGGGAGCGCAAGGTATGATGGGTAAATAGCCCTTGACATGAGTTAGGATGTCAACAGCAGAGTTTTGAATGAGCGCAAGTTTGCAAAGGGTATTAGATTAGAAACCAATCAGGAGACCACTGGAAGGATTGTAGATCGAACTGAGGCCAGGCAAAGGCTTCAGCCACAGATGAGAAGAGGTGAGCTGTATTATGGAGGTGGCAATAAAAGGTTTTGCTGACTGGATGTGTGATTAGAAAACAAATTTGTCAATCTCCCTTCTCCTGGCCTTGAATGTTGTCTTAAAACTTTTGGTCCTGCCGCATGCTAAATTGGTGCACAAATTTGAGGTGTAAAACCTTTGTATACGGTCATTGAGGTCTGCAACTCGGAAAAGGCCCTTCAGCCCATTGAGTTTTCACTGGTCAAAAACAAGCACATGACTGTTTATATCCAATTTTCCAGCATTCTGGCCATAGCCTTGTCTGCCTTGGCATCGCAAGTGCGCAACTAAATGCTGCTTAAGTGTTATGAGGGATTCCGTCTGGAACACCCTTACAGGCAGTGAGTTCCAGATTCCCGCTACCCTCTGAGTGAAACTGTTTTCCGTCCCACCTCCTCTACAGCTCCTGCCCCTTAGCTTAAATCTGTCCCTCCAAGGGGAAAGGGTCATTTCTGTCCACCCTGTCTGTTTCTTACACCCCCACCCCACATAATCTTAGACATTCATATCTCCTCTTGTCAGCCTCCTGCCAATATTCTTTTGCTCCAAGGAAAACAACCCCTATCTGCACCCTCCAGTGCATTCACATCCCTCCTATAATGTAAATTCCAGAACTTCCCACAATACTGTCGAGCTGTGACCTAACCAACACTTTATACAGTTTGAAACATTACCTCCGTGCTCTTAAACTCTACGCCTTGGCTAATAAAGGCAAGTGTCCCCCATCCCTTCTTTTATCTGTCTGTCCCCCTACCTTCAGGGGCCAGTGGACATGCATGCCAAGGCCTTTTTGATCCTCTGAGCTCTCAAGGGGCCTAGTGTTTATTGTGCATTGCCTTGCCTCATTGCTCAAGAGCATTACCTCTCACTTATCTGGATTGAATCCACAGATCAGTTCATCTGACCAACCTGTCTATATTGTCCTGTGATCCAAGGCTACCCTCCTCACAATTTACCACCCTACCAATTTTGTATCATCTATGAACTTATTGATCAACCAGCCCACATTCGAGTCTAAATGGTCACTTATACCACAAGCAGCAAGGCCACAAGACAGACAGCTGTGGGACCTGACCAGACACAGGCTCCCAGTCACAAAAACACTCCTTGTTCATCACCCTCTGGTTCCTGCCACTCGGCCAATTCCGGATCCAATTTGCCAAATTTCCATGGATCCTATGTGCTTACACCTTTGCTATGAGTCTCCCATGTGGGATCTCAAGAAAAGCCTTGCAGACATCTAGGTAAAGTACACCAAAAGCATTGCTCTTATCTACACACCTGGTTACTTCTTTGAAAAATTCAATCAACTTGGTCATTCATGGCCTCTGTTTATCAAAAGCCTGTTGACTGTTCTTGATTAATCCCTGCCTCTCCAAATGCAGATTAATTCTGTCTCTTAGAATTGTTTCCAATAGCTTTCCACCAGTAAAGTTAGACTGACTGGCCTGTAGTCTGCTGGTTTATCCCTACCTCCTACCTTGAAAAGTCGTACTGAATTGCTTATCCTCTAGTCGTAGAGTCATGCAACATGGAAACCAGCTTGTCCATGCCGACCATGTTTCCCAAACTAAATGAGTCCAATTTACTTGCTTTTGTTCCATATCCCCCTTTAAACCTTTCCTATTCCATGTACCTGTCCAAATGTCTTTTAAATATTGTAATTACCTGCATCTACCACTTCCTCTGGCAGTTCATTCCACATACCAACCACCCTGTGTCTGGAAAGCGTTTCCCTTCAGAGCCCTTTTTTAAAATCTTTCCCTTCTCAGCTTAAAAATATGCCCTCTAGTTTTGAACTCCCCTACCCTAGGGAAAAGACACCTGCCATTCACCTTAACTGTACCCCTCATGATTTTATAAATCTCTATATGAGGTCACCTCTCAACCTCCTACTCTCCCGTGGAAAGAGGTCCCAGCCTATCCAGCCTCTCTGTATAACTCAAACCCTCCAGTCCTGGCAACATCCTTGTAAATCTTTTCTGCACCTTCTCCAATTTAATAATATCCTTCCTATAGCAGGGTGACCAGAACCTTTGGCACCTTTCCTGTGGCCCAAGAGGAGTTGGAAATTATTGCAAGTGCCCCTACTATTTCCTCTATTGCTTCACTCAACAGCCTGACATAGATTTCATATGCCCCTGGTGATTTATATATGTTTGGGCCTGCTCCATTTCAGTGAAATCAGGAATAGGAATGTGTATCTCAAAGTACAGTACTCTATCTTGCCACCTAAGTTCATGTGCAGCAAATAAGACGACAACTTGACGATCGGGTATCCTTGGGTGTTGAATGTCAGCCATGTATCTAACAGTGCTACTCTTCAGATACCCTGTGCCCTACCCCTTTTTCTCCCCCCCCCCCCATTCTCCTGTTTTAATTGGGAATAATCTGTGATTAAGCTGACCAGACACAGACCCTTCCCCTCGACAGGCATGTAAATTTCAGGAGATACACTTCTGTGTTCACGATACTACCTCTTGCTAATGTTGGTTTCTGTTTTGTTGTAAATGGTTTACGATTACTCCTCATCGTTGTCTGAAAGTTCAGTACTTTCTGCCTGTCTAACACACTTGTTTTGCTTTACCAAGGGTGAAGCTCTAAGGCAGATCTTGGTCAATCGTTACCACGGCAACGTCAGGTCAGTAGGTAGAAGAGACAGCTTGACTAATTTTCACAATGGCCCACTGTCAGCAGGAGGGATCAACAAGTCTGTTGAACGAGGTAAGATATTCCTTTTTTTTCTGCTTCAGCCCAGCTCCCAAATGATAACACGTCTGTGTAGTTAGTTGCAGCATCTGTGGAAAGAGGCTCCAAGCTAACGTTTCGGGCTAATGAACTGACAGATGTTAGAGATGAACCAATGTCAGCAAGTACAGAGTCAAGGAAAAGATCTTAAGCGAAAGATCAAAAGGGGCAGCAAGCAGGCATGACTCAATTATGAAAGGGCTTCCAATTTGGTGACAGATTACAAGTGGGCCACAGGATTTTATTTTAATAAAACCACACAAGGTTAAATTCGGCAGCCAGTCTGCATATTAATGCCTGAATGCTTATGTGGTAGCCCAGGTATAATTGGAATGTATTTGGTGGTGACTGTAGACTTGCTTGTGAGATGTCTATGAAACCTCATTGAATTCAGTTTCTGTTCTTTTCCTTTCCCTGAGTACTGAGGGAATTTCTGCAGGCTAACTCTTGACAGCGGCCCATTGAACACGCTTGAGCTAACTTTTCAGATTTGGTCTGTCTTGACCTATTTTAGTGTCGTTTGGCTGAGCAGATATTGCAGCTCACTTTTTCTGTCCTGGCTGTTCTGGAATCTAATAATTTGATACAAAACTGTAGAGTCCAAAAACTTGTGCCTTTCACCAGTATTCAAAGGATACTGAGCAAAGTTTTCTTTGTTTTAAATTGTTGTGAAATTGAGACTTCCAACAGTGCTCTTTTGAGAAAGTTTCCCCTCTAAGTGTTGTGCAGTCTGTTATTTTCAAAACTACTTCCATTAGTTTGATCTGTCGTCAAAGATGAGAGGTTAATGGTGAATATCACATTCCTTTTTTTTTGTTTCGATAGCTTCTGATGAAACTTGGGTGTAGCTGGCTAACGCCCTGATTTGGTTTGGCATCAATCTGACCAGAAGAATTCAGAGTCCCCAGCTCAAGCTTGTGTAATACAAACACACTGGATGAACACTTAGCAGTTATTGAACGTGGAGCATTATTAAACCAAGTACAACAGAACAATACAGATTCGAAGCCAGACCAGCAAGCTGCCTTTTAAAATGTGCAGATAAGGCGCATTTAACAGGCTTACTCCTCAACACCAGTTATTGCCAACACCCTGTCATTTAATTGAATCCAGACTGATTGCTATATGGTAGCTGAAATAACATCAGATGGCCTGCTGTTTGCAAATGTGCTGTGCAAAGCCAAGGCCAAGTTGGTCCCTGCTCCTCGGCTTACCTCTGAAAACTCTGTACACATTTTTAAAATTGCCCTAGGGGGAAGCCACCTCAGGTTACAAATGTCACCAGTCTCTATGCTGTACTTGAAGCCTTGGCGTGGATCTCCAAGTAATTAAGGCAAACCACCAATGGATTCAGCAGCTTCTGTTCTGCCAGTAATCAGCAGCTGTCTTTGGTCAGGTTACCAAGGGAGTTTGCAACATCTTACTAATGGGGTACAAAAATAACTACAGTAACTTAAACCATGCTTGCACAGAATTTACCACTCTCAAATGGCTATTCAATCTTCCATGCTAGCCGCCTCCCACTCTGATTTCTTTAACCCTACTGATACAGTCTTTTGTTCCTTTCTCCTTTTTTATATACCTTTATCTAACATTACCTTAAACGCATCTGTCTCAGACACCCATAAAACAGAATGGACAAATTCAAAGCTGCAGTAAACAAGTTGGTGTTTTGAGATTTTAAGATTTCTGGTGAGAAAATAAATACATAATTTCTCAGGTCACACATTAAGCGCAATATCTGTAGTCAAAAAGTGATCTCACCGGATCATTTTGAAAGGAACATTTAAGTGGTGATAAAATTTGTAACCGTCCCAAACAAAATTTAACATTGATATGAGTTGGTGCGCCTCTAGCTGTTTCTTCAAAACCTTCTCCCTGCACCCACCCTCCGAGTGCTTGTTCCACTTTATATGCATTGAATCAGCAGTTCATAGGTCCATCCACTTCTCCTGCTGTTAGGCTGTGAGAGGCAACTACAACCAATTATTGTTTACTCAAATAAACAAATGCTGAAGGAGTGCTGTGACTCCAAGCCATTCATTTCTACTCCATTAGGAGGCTCCTTGTAACTTTAACTAAAACAGCTGCTGATTAACAGCATAGCAGAAGTCATTAAATCCACCGATGCTCACTTTTAATTGCTTGGAGGTCCAAGTGGATGTGCCAGGGTTCAACTGCAGCGCAGAAAGTGGTGACATTTAGAATCTGAGAGAGGATGTGCATGCTACGCTAAAAGACAAAAATAACAAACGTGTCACACCAGAGCTGCAACATGCTGACATTACATTCTTGGCTTTCATCCGGTGGAATCTGAATTTTAGGAGTTGTCTTTTCGATGGTAGTCATCAGGTTAACCCTAACATCAGACAGCTTGCAAATAATGCTTAGCAATAATTTGCAATGAGATATTGTAAAATTATAGGCTGATGCAGGTCTAGAACACTAAGTACATGAATGGCTCTGCAGAGAAGGGACATTAAGAAATAATAATTGAATCCGATGGAAAGAAACATAGCACAAGAAATTTCTGTCCTGTTGTCAATGTGATTTGACTAACTTGAACTAGCTTTTGTACCTGCTTTTGCATCTGAGAACATCTATTGAAACCTGACTCATGTTTGCTGTAATACAAACTTGTGTCTGTATTGACTTGATGGAAACTGGACAGTTCAACCCGGGGAGTGGCTTTTATAACCCACCGTGATACAGTTTGCACAAAATTTTCCCGAATATTGATGGAAGTAGCCAGTAAATGCTCAAAAGTGGACAATAATGACTTGGGTGCAGGACACAGTTTGCAATTTGCAATTTAGCATAAAACGTGGAAGCAAACTAAACAGCAAGTTAAAATGTTTGTAGACATCCAGAGGGCATGGAATGCACAGAGAGAATGCAAATGAAATTTAACATGGCAAGACATGAAGTGATAACATTTAGCAGGAAGAATTGGCGAAATCAGTGATATAATTTAAAGTCCTTTTGCACTAATTCTTGCAATGTCAGGACAGATAAACAAAATAGTTCGAGCATACTGGGATCCTGGACTACAAAAGGCAGGATATTGTGCTAAACCTTTTGTAAAAGCTTAGTACAGCCCCGCCTGAAGTATTGTTGAACACTAGGTACCACACTTTAGAAAAAGCACCAAGGTTTTGGAGGTATTACACAGGAGATTTACCAAAATAGTTCCAAGGATGAGGAATTACAATGACTTGAATGAATTGGAGAACCTAGGGTTATTTTCCTTCAATTCGTGAATGCCAAGAGGAGATTTAAAAAAGGATTTTTTTTTAAATAAAGGGAAGTTTTGCCAACGGCTGAAGGGTCAAGAACCAGGGGACAAAGATTGAAACGTAGGAACAGGAGTAGGCTGTTCAGCCCATTGAGAATGCCTTACCATTCAGTGGGATCATGACTATTTGCCATTTTTCATGTCCACTTTCCTGTGTCTTCCCATAACCTTTTGATTTCTCCTGCTCATCAAGAATCCATCCATCTCAGCCTTAAATCTACATCCAGATTCTGCCCCCAACAGCTTTCTAATCACATGGAATTCCAAAGACACGCAACCCTCTGAAAGAAGAAATTCCTCCTCATCTTGGTCTCAAATTGGTGCCCCTTAATTCTGAGACTATGACCTCTGGTCCTTGACTGTCCCACAAGGGGAAACATCCCCTCAGCATCTACCCTGTCAAACTCCTGAAGAATCCTGCATGTTTCAATGAATTCACCTCTCTTCTAAACTCCAGTGGTTAGAGTTCCAAACCTGTTTAACCTTTTGCTCATAAGACAGTCCCTTCATACCAGCGATCATCTTACTGAACCTTCTCTCAACTTCCTCCAATGAAATGATATCTTTCCTTAAGGGGACCAAAATTGCTCTCAGTACTCCAGATGTGGTCTCAACAGCATCCTGTACAGTTGCAGTAAGACTTCCTGACTCTTGTAACCTCCTGAAATAAGGACTTGATTACCTGCTGCACCCATGTGCTAACCTTGTGTTTTGTCCGCAAGCACCCCCAAGTCCCTTCGTGTTACAGCTTTCTGCAGTTTTTTTTATTTTTCCATTTAGTTGAGGCTAAAACATTCGGTAATGGCTTTCAAGAAGGAATGAGCCAAATTTGAAGACTTTCAAAGATTGCAGAGACATGGGGATAGAATGGGTGGTCGAATGAATGTGAAGGCTTGGTGAAAGAGCTGGCACAAACTTAACGAACCAACGATGCTATTGTATGATGTGATGATACTCAAGTGATTGTGTGAAATAGCACTCATCTGCTAATTATGTTCTGAAGGTTTAATGTATGCTAGAATTTGAATTGGTTTTAATTAATACAAGGCGCAGCACAGATTCTACATTCTCAGGCAGGGTCTCGGAGATGTAGGGTTAAATAGACTGATTAAGTCCTCTCGTGCACTGTTTGAAAACATCTTCGGACTTTAAACCAAGGAGCAGTGTTGGCCATACTTGAGGTGCTGTCTACTTAAGGATAGGGCTCCATTGCTAGAATCTGTGGCTTCTCCCACAAGGAAGGACAATGGCAGCTGATACTAGGAAACACCAGCACATGCACCTCACCATCACCTTTTCGAGGGTATTCGGGGGGTGGGGGGGATGAATAACAAGTGCTGGTGCAGCCAGCAAAGCCTGTTATCCTGTGAAAAATTTTTATAAAAAAGGATAGCATGCATGCTGTCTTGAATGGGGCAATGGACACAGGAGCAAGATTAAATAGCAACTCGCCCATAATGTGTAGCACTCTTGCAATTCAGAGTTTTGTTCCTGGAACAACCTCTTGCATAATCAGCCCATGCAAAACTCTCACTTGCATTACACAAATGTTTGTGAGTGTTTACACAGACAGAGTGTTGAAATACAGTCAAATGACTCCATGGAATAATTGGCAGCCATCCAAAGGTGCTTTCATGAGAAAATATTTGGCAGTTCACTCATTTCTATGAATTTTCTTGCAGTAATAATAAGATGTAGGCATGAGTTGGAGGTGGTTTATAGGTAGAATCTAATGGGAGGGTGCTGAATGCATTCAAGCTTGGAATTTGCGCCACATTCTTGGTAATTAAGATCAAGCCAGACACACAGCCATGTCTCAGTGTTATTTAGAGTCATAGAGTGATACAACACGGAAACAGCTCCTTTTGACCCAATTCCTCCATGTCGACCAGGTTTCCCAAACACAACTAGTCCCATTTGCCTGCGTTTGGCCTATACCCCTCTAAACCTTTACTATCCATGTACCTGTCCAAATGTCTTTTAAAAGTTGAAACTGTACCCTGCACCCCCCCAACCACTTTCCTCTGGCAGCTTGTTCATACATGCACCACCCTCTGTGTGAAAGTGTTTCCCCTCGGATCCCTTTTAAATCTTTCCCCTGTCACCCCTATGCCCTCTAATTTTGGACTCGCCTACCCTGGGGAAAAGACCTTGTCTATTCACCCTATCTATGCCCTTCATGATTTTATAAACTTCTAAGGTCACCCCTTAGCCCCCTATGCTCCGGAGGAATGAAGTCCCAGCGCATTCAGTCTCTCCTCCTAACTCAAACTTGCAGTCTCAGTAATACCCCTATAAATCTTTATTCCCACCATTTCCATAAAGCAGGGTGACCAGAATTGTCCTCAAAGTGTGGTCTCATGAAAGTCCTGTACAGCCATAACATGACATCCCAACTCCTATACTCGGTGCTGTGACAGATGAAGGCAAGTGTGCCAAATGCCACCTTCACCACCCCATCTACAAGTGATGCCACTTTCAAGAAACAATGTACCTGCACCCCTAGGTGTTTGACAACACTCCCCAGGATTCTACCATAACCGTGTAAGTCCTGCCCTGGTTTACCTTACCAAAATGCAACACCTTTCAGTTATGTGAATTAAACTCCATCTGCCATTCCTTGGCCCATTGGCCTTGTTGACCAAGATCCTGTTACACTCTGAGAACCTTTATTCACTGTCTACTACGCCACCAATTTTGGTGTCATCCACTATCCTACCAATCATGTCTTTTTATACTCTCATCCAAATCATTTATGTAAATGACAAACAACAATGGACCAATCCTTGTGGCACACTGCTGGTCACAGGCCTCCAGTCTGAAAAACAACCCTCTACCACCACCCTCTGTCTGCTACTGTCAAGCCAAACTTGTATCCAGTTGGTTAGGTTTTCCTGGATCCCATATGATCCAACTTTACTAAGTCTACCATGCAAAACCTTCTTGAAGGCCTTGCTGAAGCCTGCTTTGCCTTCATCTATCTTGGTCACCTCTTCAAAAAAAAACTCAGTCAAATTTGGGGGACACTATTTTCCATGCACAAAGTCATACTGACTATCCCCAATCAGTCTTTGCCTTTCCAAATGCAAGTAGATCCTACTTCTCAGAATCCCCTCCAACAACTTACACACTACTGACGTTGGGCTCACCGGCCTGTAGTTCCCTAGCTGCTTCTTGCAGCCTTTCTTAAATAATGGCACAACATTAGCTATCCTCCATGGCTGTCGATGATACAAATATCTCAGCAAGGGGCTCCACAATTGTTTCCCTAGTTTCCCACAATGTCCAGGGATACAATTGATTTATCAAACTTTTAGACCATTTTAAGACCACCAGCACCACCTTTTCTGTAATGTGGACTCTCTTATTTTCAAGATCTCACTGTGTATTTTCCCAAGTTCCCTAGCTTCCGTGTTTTTCTCTGCAGTAAATACAGACACAAAATATTCATATAAGATCTCACCCATCTCCTCTGGTTCCACACACAGGCGGCCTCGTTAATATTTATATAACCAGAGTTCGTTTACAAGATGTGTTTTAAATCAACCTGTTACAATGCACCTCTATGGGACTTGAACCTGGGGCTCCTGACCCAAGGGGTAGGGACACTACCACTGCACCACGAGAGCCCAATCACCCTTCTCATGGGAAAGGCCTAAATATGGTACATTTGAATAAGATGTTGCAACGCAACATTGTGAAGGATCTTGGCCATTGGCAAATCAACTCGTGAACCAAATATTGTCAGTGGATACATTGCCAATCATTAATTGATTGGTTTTTTTTTGGAGAAATCTAGAGCAATGAGAGACCGTCTTAAAGTTAAGCTGTTTAGGGGTGCAAAGAGGAAGCACTTCTTCATATAAGAGTAATGAAAATTTAGAACTCTTCCCCACACCCTCCTCCCAACAGGAGCTGGAAAGGCACTAAAATATTTGTATTTCTCAAGATAGAGATCAAATCATTGTTGTTAGGTTATCTTGGGACATGGACCGAAGGCTCATGAGTTCAAGTCTTAACCTTTCAAATTTAAGCATGATATTCCCAAAACTCCACTGAAGAAAGTTTCATTGGCATGGTAGATGAAGTGGCATTGCTGATGTTGGTGTGTGGTTCAGAAAGTCTTGTACGTGCTCTAAGTAATGCTTGAACCTGAAGGTATTATTTGTCCCTATACGTGTGCACACCCAAGAATTATAGGGATAGTATATCGGCACAGCTTTAGAACATGTCTTTTTGGTTCCATGTGAGTCTAACCCATGATCAGTTCTCCAAGTTATTTTTTAATCAATCATGGTGCAGACTCTTTGGCTTCCCAGGGTTTAATTACCAAATCCAGTTCATATTTTTTTGCGTTTCTCATGCACACTTTTTGTTTAAAAAATGTTTTTTTTTCTTCCTTTTTTATATGTCACTTCAGTGAGGTGTGACCTTACTTGGCATCTTTTTGTTAGTTAACGTCTAATTACTGTTTTATCGTCTTCTCTTTTGCCCCCAGAGACTCTGAGGTTAGTCGAGCCTTACGTAAAGTTATTCTGCTGTTAACCCACGGCTGTTTGTTATCCCAGTTTCATTTTCAGACTTTCCTCCGTCATTGGGCAAACAATGCTGTGAATGTTCCCCATAGGGCAAGGAACTGCTCAGATGTTAAATTCCAGGCTAAAGAAGCAAATGCTGGATAATTCTCGTCAGTGCTTTAACTGTGATGTGGAGCTGCCGGTGTTGGACTGGGGCAGACAAAGTTTTAAAAAAAACACACGACACCAGGTTATAGTCTAGCAGCTTGATTTGAAATCGCAAACTTTTGGAGCGCAGTCGCTTTGTCAGGTGCAGTGAGAGGAGAGCACACACACAGTTTATAGGCAGAGAGATGAAAGATCATACAACTGGTCTGTGTGGAGTGAACAGCCCTACAATGGCTGGTAGACTGCCTCCTGTTAAATCTTTAATCATTCATATGTTCTTACATTCTAGAAACTGCAGAAGCAGGATACGGAGAACTCTGTTAGAAAGGAGAAGCAAGTTTTGATTGATTTTAAGATGCAAATCCCACAATCTGTTTCCACTGCCCTGAGATAATTAAAGGTTTCATCAGAGTGTCTGCCTAACTTTCCAAACTTCAAACAGGCAGAGCGATAAGAATATACAAAAGGTGACATCTCGGGTCAGACACTGAATTGTAGGTGTGAGGCCGCGTTCAGAATCTGTCCGAGTTTTAACCCGGAATCAGGCTGGTTTTATTCTGAAAGCAGGAATTTATAAAATGCCACGCTGACTGACTATGACTACAAATTGTGTGTTTCTTGAGCAAAATAGAATGTATCTGCAAATAAACATCTTGGATGAAATGATTTACCCCATAGAGGGTGTGTGTGTGTGTGTGTGTGAGATACATTCTATTCGGGCAGTGAGAGAAGGAAAGATTTTCTGAATCGTTTTGACTCTCTTTTCAGGCACACGATTGTTCTGAGAGCTGAATGTTGTGCCAATGTTTTGTCCACCTGTTGTGACCTTGTGTTGAAATTACTGTTGTAAGTTTGTAGTGTAGTCCTTCAATGTCTCTCCTTTTTCATAAAGACAGCTTTATGCATTTTCCAAGTGGCTTTGGAAGAATTAAATAAATATTACAGTATTGGTATACTAAATATGTACGGGGTATCATATGATGATATTAAAAAAGCATTCAAGGATGTCTAGTTGCACAGCTCTCCGTGAATAGGATATTTTTCGGCATCTTGGGTGGCACAGTGGCTCAGTGGTGTTAGCACTGCTGCCTCACAGTGCCAGGGACCTGGGTTCAATTCCACCCTCGGGCGACTGTCTGTGTGGAGTTTGCCCGTTCTCCCAGTGTCTGCGTGGGTTTCCTCCGGCTGCTCCAGTTTCCTCCCACAGTCCAGAGATGTGCGCGCTAGGTGGATTGGCCATGCTAAATTACCCATAGTGTTCAGGGATGTGTAGATTAGGTGGGTTATAGGGGGATGGGTCTGTGTGGGATGCTGCAAGGGTCAGTGTGGACTTGTAGGGATGAAGGGCCTGTTTCCACACTGTCGACATTCTATGACCTCTGTGTATTAGGTTGCAACAACTAGGGAGCATCTCACTGCAGTGGATCATTATCAAAAGCACTTAAGTTTTTTTATTCGAAAAAGAGATTAAAACTTGCCAATATCCCAAAATATTAAATCTAAAGCCTTTTTGATGTAGTTGTGTTGTGTCAATAAACTGTCAATCTGCTCTGGTGCTGTGTTTTTGAAGCTGTTGTACATATTTCAGGAAGTGGTGCAGGACCTGGCACGCTGAGCCGAGGTGAAATGAGCCTTGCAGAAGTGCAATGTCACTTGGACAAAGAAGGAGCATCTGACCTAGTCATAGACCTCATAATGAATGCAACCAGTGACCGGGTCTTCCATGAAAGTATCCTACTTGCAATTGCTCTGCTGGAAGGGGGCAACACTACCATTCAGGTACGAAGAATGACTGCTGTGACTTCATAATGAAGTGTTATGATTTATACCACATGATGGTCTGACAGTGCCTTAGTTATGACAGCGTTGTCCTGTGTACAAGTCAATTTTCCTCCCTGAAATCACCCCTCTCTATCTCCGTAGCCGACTCCAACCTGAATATCACCTAAGATCTTTGCACTTCTCCCATTATGGTCTCTTGTTGACTCCTGAATTCCTTCACCCCACCACTGAGACAATGCCATCAACTGTCCAGATCCTAGTCTCTTTAATTACTTCTCTGAAGCGCTCTCTCTCTCTCTTTCGCGCTCTCTCCTCTCTCTCTCGCTGTCTCTCTCTCTTAGGCGTTAAATAGCATATCTCTCTGACTGAGCTTCTAGTCGTAATATCGCCTTATGTGGGTTATTGACAGACTTGCCAGATAAAACTTCTGTGAAATGTCTTCAGACTTTTTTGCCATTTACAAGGTTCTATACAAGTGTAACCTGTTGCTTTATGGGACAGTTGCATAATTTTCTAATTGTGTATTAGTATTTTGTTGATTTTTGAGTAATTCTATTCTCTAGTGTAAACATTACTATGTTAAATTAATGGGAATGTCTAGTTTCGATGTCTGTGCAGTTAACTACTGGGAAAAACAATGATTCCTGTCTGTAACTGCTGCAATAAATATTTACTCAATTATATTTACAAACTCTACTAAAACTGCAGCTATTGTGAGAATACGCTGTTGGAGAAAATTCCAGGAGATTTGTCTACTTCACAAAGAATTCCATTAATAAATGACTTGGGTGAAGGGTCTGACTGACTGTATTGTATGTGCAGATGATATAAAGATAGGGAGGAAAGTAAGTTGTGAGGAGAACATGGAGTCTGCATATGTATATAATAAAATAAGGTTAAAGGAATGGGGAAAATTTGGTAGATGGAGTATAATGTGGAAAAATGTGAAGTTGACCACCTTGACAGGGAGAACAGAAAAGCAGGATATTATTTCAGTGGTGAGAGCCTCAGAATGCTGCAGTACAGAGGGATCTGGATGTACATAAATCACAAGTTCAGTGTTCAGGTATAGCCAGCAATTAGGAAAGCAGCTGGAATACTGAGCTTTATTGGTGGAGTATAAAAATAGAGAAATCTTGCTACGCCAGCAGAGGAAATTTGAGGCCACACCTTGAATAGTGTTTCTGGTCATGGCCTTCTTAGCTAGCAAGAGATACACTTGCACTGGGCTGATTCCAGAGATGAAACTGTTGTTTTATGAGGAAAGGTTGAGCAAGCTAGGCCTATGTTCATGGGAGCTTAGAACAACGAGAGATGGTCTAATTGAAACATATCAGATTCTGAGGGTCTGGACAGAGATAATGCTGAGGAATGTATACCCTCGAGGGGGAATTTGGAACGAGGAATCAGTTTAAAATGAGGGGTCTTCCATTTAAAATGGAGATGATTTTCTTCTGAAGGCATTTAGTCTTTGGAATTCTCTTCTGACAGCAGGGAGGCAGAGTGATTGTGTATATTCAACACTGAGTCGAATGGATTTTTGATTGACAGGGATTTTGGCGAACAGGCAGACGAGTAGAGCTAAGACCACAAACCGATCAGACATTTCTTATTGATTGGCAGCTCAGGATCAATATATCAAAAGACTTTCCCATGTCTAGGGATCTTGTATCTTATCTGTAACTTCTCACACTTCAACTGAGATAATTATTGGTTTTCAATGTCGGATAGAAATGATAAGAAATCATATTTGGTAATGTTCATGAATCGTCATGTTCTGATAATCATTTTGCAAGTTTAAGTATTAATGGCGGTATTTTCCATTGCTGTCTTTGTTTCAACTTGCATTTAATGGTTCCGATAGTTTGCAACTTCTTTTCAGATACTGCTCCAGATTATGGTTTGGGTGGCATTCCAGTACTCGGTGGAAATCATTGGCTGTTCCACCTCTTTTCAGCCCATGTTATTCAAATGTATTTCAATACATAATAAATATGCTGCAGACTGTGGGATCTTCATGGATAACCTCACCAAGAGAAGATGGGATTACTTTAGGACTGAAGTTAGAGCACAGCAGTGCTTCCAGGAGAGAACAAAACTGTAAACTTATGCATTTCTCTCGAATTTGATCACCGTTTCCCACAGTATCACACATCATGTTGATGAAAAGGGTGTCTCTAATCCATGGCATGCGGGTCACACTTGGAGCGGTACCTAAAACAAGACTTGCCATTGGGTCTCCAGCAAAGTAGGGGGCTATTGGCTCCACTCTCATCTCCGGCCTCTGTCAGTTTACATCGATCAAAGAGTGGAAGCCAATGGTCCTACTTGGTGCTGCATATTAGTTGACTCTGCCACACCCTGGAATTCATCCCGTCAGCCAGTTTGAGAGAGGTGGGTAAGATGCAGGTCATGCTTGAGGAATACGTGAAGGCCTCACTTATTGACTGGAAAATAAAGATGGCTATATTCAGTATCCATGAGGCAGTTTGTCTCACTGTTAACTCTGCCTCATTTAGCATGGGAAAGCTCCTCACTTGCGATGCTCCCTACCCTGTGCTGCCCGAGGGATGCCAGAAGCTAGCTTCAGTCACGTTGCTGCTACAAACCTACAAGCTGGACTTCAAATGACAACACCACTCTCTTCCTGTGATTTGATTGCAGCCAATCTTCCGGAGATGGAAAGATGTTTTCTAATCCAGTCTCTTGCTGCGTTGTACTTTAATGTCGTAAAATAAGTAGTAAATTGCGGTCAACCGTTGCCCTGCCTTCCAAAAAAAAAGGCAGCGGTTTTTAAAGCGAGGCTGATGAGATCATGAGGGCAACGCTTGGATTTGGTATTCTGCAAGGGAGGTTTTCATTTTATTTTTCGATTTGGGGTATGCCGATAGCATCGAGGCTGCAGTTGGAGCCTCGGAAACTTGGCCATAAATATACATACATCACTGTTTTGAACACCCAGTCTTTTTCTGTTTTTTGATGTAACTCTAAAATTGAACTTGGGTGCCCTGCAGCCTTTAATGGACCAGAGCAGTTCTTGATCTTGACAAAAATTAAATCCGAAGTGGAGCGTCCGTACTTATAGTTGACTCTGCTTGCTACAAGCACTATTTGCATATTATTATAACCAGCAGTGCCTTCTGCTATGTCACTGGCTGATATAACAGTCGACTGTCTCTATGGGATGCTGTGCAAGAAACTTGGCTGTAACGTTGGGATTCTCTAAACTGTGACATATTTGTTCCTTTTATTAGAGGGGCTGTAACAAGTGAGGACTTGCTTAACATTTTCTCTTTTGACTTGGGGACAAGTGGTTGGTTATTGTTTCAGGGCTGTGGTAGAAAGTACCAGGCAGTGACATGTGCCCAGGATGCTGGTAACTGATGGGGGAGTGTCCAAAGCAGTCTGATGCGATCAGTTCTATTGTAACAAAAGGTCTTTCAGCAGAGCGTTTAAGAGAATGTGTGTGCTGCCAAGACACAGTGTCTGGACGAAGGTGTCTGGTTAGCCCTGGGAACAATCTGAAATAAAGGAAAAACCATGAGGGATTGACTTGGCCGGTATCTAAGCCAGATTAATTTTACCCACACAGCCCTTCTCCATGACAGCAGCCTTGGCTTGAGTTGGCCATTGTTAAATTCTGAAAACCATGGAAACCTGAAGCCCATGTCTAATGGCCTCTTGCACTTTCACATGCTGAACAGGGAGGACTCGGGTCAGATGATCTCCAAATATGGGAAATAAACCCATCAACAGTTAGGCGCAGGCCGTCGAGTCTCGAAACAAGGTCATTCGCATTTTTCTCCAGCACTGAAATCAACAAAGAGATGTTATATAACTTCTATTTATATCCTGTTTTCTCACTCGCTGTGCAGCACACAAGAGCTTTTTGAAAGTGGGAGGTTTTTTTAATGAGCTCTTGTGTTTTTTTTCCACCTTTTCAAAGCGACAGGAGTTAGTTTGTCATTGGAAAAGGGGAAAAGGATGAATTTATTTGCAAATGTTAGTGATTTGATGGTCTGCTCAGGAGAAGTGAGATGTGGAATAGATTGCATTCAAAGCCTTGCTATATTCGGGTTAAATGTTGACTTTGTACCATTGCATTGATAATTACCTGCCAGGTATTCTGATTACATGGATGAAGTAAGATTTTTTCGGCTGCCAAAACGTGACGTTTAATATTAAATGACAATTGCAATATTTATTCCAAATTTGCCTCCTCCTTCAGTAACTTCAAATGTACCATTGTATAATAAATGTTCACTCATGAATCATACCCTATCCTCAGTACATCCGAGAACAAGTTCTACATTGCTGTTTTTGTTTAAAACTCAGTTATTTTGCCCTAATATTTAACCATCCTAATTAGTATTTGTACGAACAATGCTTCTCGGCTGCACCCCCGTTTTGGTTATTTGAAAAATCTTCCATTGTGCTTTTGTTTGCACTTTGACCCTACGTTTCTGACCTTCGGGCATCTGTCGTGGAGGGGTGCGAGCAGATTAGAGGACTTCCTGGGCATTGGCTGCATTTACAGGCATTGATAAGTCCAAGCAGCGGGTTGTGGAGAGGGTCATGACTGCCCACTGTCTGCCCCTTTCAACTCTACGTTCCTGCCATGGTGCCCTTGGAGACAGAGCACACAGTGTCCACAAATACCCTCTATGTTTATAGAGAGGTGTGCACCGCAGGTGGTAGAGTATCCTTCCAATGCATCTTTGAGCTCCTCTTTTCCCTCTCTTCCCCCTCACCTTTTGGCGGTTTGCATTGCCCTCAGCGGGCATCACATCTAAGTTAATCCGTTGGAGAACATGAGTGACTTGCTGGTGGTGGTTAATAGGTGGAAAAAAATATACCTCCAGGTAATTTGGTGCTCGGGGACAAAAGTTCCTAGGTGTGTAAGAGTGCTTCTGAATATAATACAGAAAAATGAACGAGGCTGCTAGCCACAACACACTTTTTTAACTAGCTTCAAGATCTCCCCATCCCCGACCTCA